ATACATACATACATACATTCATCCATCCATCCATACATTCGTATGTACGTAGGGATGGATGGATGGATGTATGTTTGAATATTTTGAGAGACATGTTTTTCTGGACTGGAATTGAACAGGGAATGTAAGTGAACCTTAAAGTTGTTGTTGGAAGACACTCAAGTGTGTAGGAGTTACACTGAACAGAGGTGGGCTGTTTTATTTATTTATTTACTTATTTATTACTTGTCCCAGGCAATGAGGGGAGTGATGGCACAGACGTTAGAGAAGGTGGACCTGTGATCGTAAGTTTGTCGGTTCAACTCCCTGAACCAACAAAATGTGGGTGAGAAAGGTGAAGCACCCACACCTGCCTCCACCCTCATTTGCCCACTCTGGGCCCTTGAGCAAGGCCCTTAACCCCCACCAACTGCTCCCCTGGGCGCCTTATGGCAGCTCCCTGGTCCATACAGAGGGCTGTGGTGGCTTGGTGGTCTGTGGCTGTCAGGAAGAGCATCCGGTGTAAAAACAAATGTCAAGTCTTTGTGTGAGTTAGTTCACTGTGGCGACTCCTGAAGAAGGGAACAGCCGAAAGAAGAAGAAAATGCTTGTCCCCGGCAACACAGATTCTGGCAAGTGGAGGGATCAATTTTATCCACCACTAGGTACAAAGGCGGAGCCAGGAGGTGGCCAGTGGTGGATTTGGCCACTGTAGATTAATCTTTGGCCACCCCAATCACTTGAAAAACTATACTTTAAGCAAAAGAAAACCTTGAAAGCACAATTTCCTCAAATGATAGAGGTGGCTGGTTTACTTATAAACACATCAGTCGACCCCGAGTTGGTGGCCATTTTGGATTTTGACGTGGAACCCAATTTTTGATAGTGACCTTTCTTACACCTAAATGCAGCCACATACCAAATAAAAGTTGGTAACTGACAAAGTTATCCAGTCCACAAGACGAATAGATGGAGATTATTTCCAAGTCCCCAATTTGTTTCATGACGGGGGATAAAAACTTTCAGTTTATACAACAAATATTTTAAATCAGACCATTATAAATCCTTCTTTTCTCACATCTGTAGGAGGTTTATCCACAGGTGGCTAAGAAGGGCTATATTTTTCCTCTGTTTGTTTGTATTTCAGGGTGGGGGGATGGGGGTGGGGGTGGATCAACTTTAATAAGTTGCTCCAAAACACTTTCTTCTTCTCCCAGAGTTTGACATGTCCCTACGCCACATCATGCATCTGCAACCAAGACATGCAGAGCTTTCCTTTAAATCCGTCTTCTGCGTTGAAGACCCTTTCAAGTCCCTTCCCATTCTCGTGACGGAGAAAGACGGTCCACCTCGCCGCACGGCTCTCCAGAGTGACTGATCCAACACTTGCATTTTCCCTGTGCCTGCCTCCCAGACCAACTGTCCCATCGTCTGACTGACAGGCGATGAGGCGTTCTGCAGGTATTTAATAATTTAGCCGGCGTAGCACAACTGCCAGCCTGCAGCCGTCGGGGCAGTTTTTAAGCCCGCAGCACATTTGTCTCAGAAGATGGGATGTGCTCCAGATGCTTTTTATCTTCATCAGTGGCTCTTGTGGTCTCTGTGTTATTAACTGTTGTGACCTGCAATCCGTCTTTGCTCAAACCTGTTAAACTAATATAACTGTTTACACAAGTCTGCCGGGTTTAGCCGTAACACATTGTCATAAAACTTGAGCTCTCCATGGACTAAAGGATTTGTTTTTATTCCCCTCTTTATCTTGGGAGTCTGACAGCTACATGCAGCTGCCTTATAGTCAAAATTACTGCTAATTATCATCTGCCACCATTAAAAGGCAGGCAATCATGTAATTTATTGTGTCTTTGTGTGTTTATTTGTCTGTCTGTTAGCAAAATATTTCCATAACTGATTACCGTATTTTCTGGACTATAAGTCGCTCTGGACTATAGGTCACATCAGTCAAAAAATGCTTAATGACAAGGAAAAAAAATATATAAGTCGCTTCAAAGTATGTCACATTTATTTACAAATGTATTGCACAAAGTGCAAGAACAGACATTTAATCTGAAATAACAATAACACACAGAACATACCTGGGATCCTGAACAGGCTTAATTAACATAACAAGCTATTGAGCTAACAAGCTAACAAGCGTGCTGCTCAATTACTGTTTTGGGCTGAATATTTTACTACCTGCTGTTTGTAATCTGCAGAATAGGATTTTCTTTTTGGGAGCATTTTACTTATGCCAAGTTTTTTTTCTTCCAGTTTTGTCTAAGTGAATGTTTGGGGATGGGGGGGTTAGGTAGAGGAACAGCATATAGTTGTCAAAAACCTAGAGGGCCCTCTCGTGGCTGCAAATGGTAATGTTTACTCTTTGGTTCATGTCAGTATGAATGAACATTTAACGCGCAAGTCAAAAATTACATCATGAATAGGGAATAACCCGTAAATAAGTTGCTTCGAACTATAAGTCACAGGGCTGGCCAATTTATGAAAAAAAGTGTGACTTATAGTCAGAAAAATACAGTAACGTTTGGAGTCAACCTGATTCAAGCTGGCTGTCTTAGCTAAGCAACATCTGCAAACACAAAAATGGCTAGGACTCGAACAGTGTTATATATATTAAGCTAAATTTTAGAGTGTTAGTGGCTGGAAATCATCTCTTACACATACATTAAGTGTTAACAGATTGTACATAATCTTTGTTAAAAATGTGCATTATAGTTTTAGGAGTCAACTGTTTTTCTGTTGACAAAATAACTCATAAACCACTGAATGGAGTTCCCACAAAGTAATCATTAAATCCACATCCGCATCTGATTAACTTGTGGAGTCAACCCAATTTAACAGACACGGTTAATAAAAAAAATAAAAAAAACACAAACAGGCTACAACCCTGTAGCTGAGGTGGAACTTGGTGTGTTGGTAGCTGAGAGTCATCCTCAACTTGTATGTCAAGCGCTAACAGATCACTTGAGTTGTGTTTTTAAACTTTTTCATGCAAACCAACATTTTTCAGTCAGGTCATCTGGACAGTTTCTTTTTTTTTGTGCTAAAACATTTCACCTTCGATCCGGAAGGCTTCATCAGTCAAGGGTGAAGGGTAATGAAGCCTTCTGGATCGAAGGTGAAATGTTTTAGCACAAAAAAAATGAAACTGTCCAGATGACCTGACTGAAAAATGTTGGATTGTATACCTGGATTATTGAGCATGGACTTTGTTGTTTTCAACCAGTTTGACAGGACTGTCAACAGGGAAGAGGACCGGCAATGGAGGAGGGGGTGTACCAAAGAGACCATCTTATCACAAGCAGAACTGGTTTGTTCCACTTTGGAGTAAGTTGTTGGGGGAAGAATCAGTTTTGTTGTGTGTTTCCTTGACTGATGAAGCCTTCTGGATCAAAGGCAAAACGTTTCAGCACAAAAAAAAAAAAAAAAAAAGAAACTGTCCAGATGACCTGACTGAAAAATGTTGGATTGTATACCTGGATTATTGAGCATGGACTTTGTTGTTTTTCGTGCAACAATATGCCTTCTTATGAACATTAGTTGCATCCAGCATGAATTCATCAGAGTTAAATGTTTCATCGCATCCGAAACAAAAACCTGAAAGTGTTGCATCCGAATGTGAGACCTCTGAGCTGAAACAGGGAATTAGTGTCCATCCTTGGAGATCTGCAGCTTCACTCTGTCTGCACAAATAACACTAAGAGCATTTCTCAAAAAGCAAGCCACCTCCAACCCTCAGCAGCAGCTTGGCCAGCGGCAGGATCTTCACTTTATCTGTTTAGTCCACTCAGGCAGGAGACCAGCAACCGTCTGAGAAGCCGTTTGACTCTCACTGTGTCTTTTCTCACATCAAGAAAAAGCCCCAGCTTTGCTCGGCGATACAAGATAAATGTATATCTAAGAAGAAGCTCAACAGTTATCATCTTTCTGCTGTCTTGTGCCTGAAGAAATGCCACGGCGCATCGTGACGGGAGATGTGTGATCTGCCGTCTAAAAGCTGTTTATATCAAAGTAATGAGCCTGAGGAGAGTGGCAATTAGGAGATCCCTTCCGTTTCTCCGTCGATTCGGGGAAAGTCAAACTGAGAGGTTATTGGGTAGACGATTAAAATGCTTGAGTGGGAGAAATTTAATTGGTTTGGGTAAAGCTACGCTGTTGACTCGGGATGTAAGCCGCTGCTTCAGCGTAGGCCTACAGTAGTTTGGACGATCTCTCGCGCAGGTTATCATATTATCTGTTTATCTAAAGTGCTCGAAAGGTTAGCATGTCCTCTGCGCACGTAATTACCACGCCACAGAGGAGCAAGGAGCTGTTTCAGGGTTTTTTCGTCTGAAAAAGATGATTCTGCTCTTTCCCTCAATAAGGAGCTGTTGAATATCAAAACAGAAGAAATAAAGCCAGTTCTGATAGCACACTTTAGTAAGAACAAACAGTATAAAAGCTTTTCAGTCTGTACAAAACAGTCAGCGATGACCTATCTCCAATGGATTCAGCATCACTTCGAATGCTTGCTGTGCTCTTTCATTGGTTCTGGTTTCAATCGGAGAGCTTTGACGACGGCGTTAAGTGAAAACTCAACGACAAGCTGTTGTTTTTCCCTCTTTTTCCAATCCACACAATTAAACCTGTAGCTTTGTGTCCCAGTCGGTGTAGATGATTGGATTTGATACAGCAGATGTGTTTGCGTGAACCTCTCTCTGTCTGTGAAATGATGCTCAGCTGGAAGGCGCTCTGAACAGTAAGTGCTACACTGCACGCCGCTGCGGTTTGCAGAGCGCTGCCAAAATGTAAATGTATCGGCTGTGAGGATATGTTTAGATTCTGTCAGGCAGAGCAGCTTCATCAGAGTCTTACTATTGTGTTAAAATGTGTTTCTCTTTCCAAACGGGCGAGATTATCATGAAAAAGCAGCAGCAATTGTGACTTGAGGTCTTTTTTTTTTGTGTGAGAACAGGCGAGTTCATCCCAGAGGCCTGATCCTTTTTTTCTTCTTTTGTCCCATTAAAAAGGTGGAATCTGCATCGCCCAGTCTTTGAAAGTTCCCCACAACCCCAAGACGGAGGATTACGACAAAATCATCCAGCAGCTGTTGGAAACGCACCACTCGCGGGCAGTCATCATCTTCGCCAGCGAAGAGAACATACGGTGAGGAACGAGGCGGCGCGCTCATACGTGTTGCTCCGGCATGCCAAATGTCTTGCCTCGGCGAGGTCTGTAATTTCTGAGCAGCGGCTCTTTAAAGACGAGCTGGAAGCGCCGATTTAAACAGGCCGTGTCTGCTGAGCAAACATACCTGCGACAACACAAACATGGCTCAGAGGAGAAATGGGAATACGGAGCGCAGCAAAGCATTAGAGGCATTGTTTCATTTATGACGCCCCATGGGGAATGTGTTTTTGTAGCCGTAAAAAAAATCAAGCGTTTAGCAAATGTAAAGTCAAACTGAAGCATCCAGTGAAATGTGCAAGTAAAGAAGCAAAGAGACTGCTTGTGTTCTTCAAATATTAACGTCTCTGCTCCGCACAGAAGCAACAAAATACGAATAGTAATATCCTTCGTTTTGCTTGTGTTAATGAGAAGAGCTTCAGGGGGGGCTTTTATGTCCAAACAGCTTCTTGAGGCTGGCTCTGGCTGTAATAGATGCACATTTCTCTTGTATTCTCTCTCCTGATAAACATACAAATGCCCTTACAGAGGAGTTCTCAATGCTACCAAGAGGGCCAACCAGGTGGGCCATTTCCTGTGGATTGGATCCGACAGCTGGGGGTCCAAGAGCAGCCCGATCCACCAGCTGGAGGAAGTGGCGGTGGGAGCGATCACAATTCTGCCCAAACGCTCCTCCATTAAAGGTATCCACACACCGAGGGCGTCACCACACCATCTGCTGCTGTCATCCAGTTTGATCTGTGGGGCTCACTGGGAAGAAAGACGGAAGAATTTGTTTTGGAATTGTAAAAAAAAAAAAAAAAAACTTTTGTAGTGATTCATGCGAAAGCTACTTTATAGTTGTTTTTGCATCACACTTGTTTGTTTTGTACATGTGTTTGTTTGCAAGCAGTAGCAGCCGGCTGTAGCTCTTATGGTGCAGTCTGGGGCATTTACTGCAGGAATACCATAAAATCAGAAGCAGAGTATAGATTTGTAGAACAGCCTTCCCATGAATTGGTGCTTGTGCTTACAAATAACTCCAGATTTTCCAGTAAATAAATGGCAAATGTTACATACAGTATATAACACCTTTCTATCTTATCAAGACACTCAAAGCTCTTTACAACACAATATTTGTCCTCATTTACCCATTCATACAGCTCTCTACTAGATCTATACAAATATTAATCAGAGCTTTATCACATTCATACACTAATGGGGCACACATCAGAGGCAATGAGGGGTTCAGTGTCTTGCCCAGGGACACTTCAACATGTGACTGCTGGTGGAATTGAACCCTCAACTCTCTCATTGGAGGACGACTGCTCTAACCACTTATCCACAGCTACACCAATACACCTGAATTATACTGAAGGAGAGAACAGATTTGTAGAGACCAGCCAGCCTGAAACCTAAAGAAACTGCATGTGGCACAGTGTGTGGTTAGAAAAGATCAATAATCTACAAGTTGTTCTGAAACCATCACACACATCAGTGATGCAGCACTAATTCCTTCAGTCATTCACGGGGTCCCAACCTAATTTGTGATTTTTTTTTTTTATTTATGTTTTTATTTTTTTAACTAAATAACAGCCCCCATATTTTTCAAACAAGCTAACCTAGAAATAAAATAAAATCTCAAGCTCACTAAATAATAATAATAACCATAAAAATAACAATTCAATGTGTTGTTAGCTGCAGTCTACAGTAGTCCCTCATTTATCGCAGGCCCCCCCCCCCCCCCAAAAAAAAAAGCAACAGTTCAGTCAACTATTAAATTTAAATCAACTAAACTAAAGCTAAAGTCTATTTAGCAAGAGTTTAATAATCAAGATAACCTGATCATGTTTATTCACTCAATTTAAAACTTTAATTTGAGTGAGTAGTAAGGCCTTTTTACTCACCAGCTCTGCAGAACACAGCAAGTTCTAGCTCAGTTCTGGTCCGGCAGACCTACCCAGCCTTGGTTCGGTTCTAGTCCGGTTCTGGTCTGGTTCTGATCTGCTCTCTGCATCCACTGAGCGCCGAAGTCACTATAAATACTGTAAGAACCAAACTTTTTCTGATCGGATCAAAACCTTCCCTCCAGCAGAAAGCATGTTTGTCTTCTGGGTAATGTAGTCCATTAGACTGGTGATAAAGTATAGGTTTATTGAGAGAAAACTACAAAATGGCTGCACTTTTTTTTTTTTTGTCGTGTACAGCCTTGTATTACTGTACTTTGAGAATCCGCAAAAGAGCGAGTTTGAAAAAGTTGAACCGCAAAGTGATGAGGGACTACTGTAAAGGTTTATGAGACAGGGTTCGTATGAAATGTTGTGAAATGTTAAAGACTTTAATCACTTTAAATTGGCAGCAATGCACTTTGATCATGGTCCCACTTGGACCAGCTGTCTGCTCATCAATTTAGTCAAAACTAATTTTTTTCTATGACTTGCGGTCATTCAAAGAGCCATCTACAACAGGTAAGATATTAACCACTCATAACACTTTGAGCCCCACTTCCAAAGCTCTGAACTATCACTTTAAACAGTTCCGTCATTATATCACTTTTTAATAGATAAGGCGAACAGCTGTGTTCATGCACTTCAACAAGTTTAGGTTTATTTGTTCTGAAATATTAAAACAGTTGGCTTTAGTCCAGAATATGTTTTTTAATAAACAGATTATGAAAACCTGCAGCGCAGAACCTTTGTCTCTCCGTTCTGGCGGTGACAGTAATTACAAACATCTCACACGTGCTTACGAGGTGTCACGTTCTTTTTTTAGTCTAATGAATCTTTTTAAATTAATTTTTATATCCAGAGAAGCGTAAGCCTCCTTACGGTGCTTATTGGTTTTTGCTCCACAGCTGCTGTCGTCTTGTTCTGCGTTCCTCTGTGAAGCAGAACTTGTCACCTCATCTCTCCTTGTTTTCACAGACTGAAACTTTTAAACTCCGATTCTGTGAAAACCCCCAAAAATATATCCGACTGCAACAACCTGATTCTGCTCTGCTCACTTATTGGGATCATGGCTGTAATGAGCACGTCTCTTTGTAATAAACTCCTCATTGCAGGTTTATTTTTGATTCACTTATTAAGTTTTAAAATAGAAACGTTACTCATTACTTGTATTTGGGCCAAAAGTACGAGTTGAAGAATATCCTCCAAGATTTTCTTCTTTTCAGTCAAACATAGAGATAACATGTTAACCAAACGTAGTTTGTCATTTTCTGACCACTCATCAAATTGATCTAAAAGTTTTTCTTATTTTTAGCCAATAAACTAACACGATCAGGTTTATAGCTGGTTTCCAGTTGAGTTCATGTTTGTAGATTAGTAAAACATTATTTAAATGCTCAGTTTGGACATGCAGATTAAAGTGCTGAAAGTCAAAGTTGAAATGATTTTTAAATATTCATATAAAAAGAGCTGCAGAGTTTGGTCAGTTTTGTCCCCAGAGACCAGGAAACAGGTCAGTTTGATAATAAAGAGATATCTTGTGCCCCTTTGACTTTTTAATGAAACAATAAAATCTATTTAGTCACCTCAGCCCTCTCTGCTTCACATGATTTATTTATAAAAGTCTTCCAATTCATTTTGGGTCAAATGTGACAACATTAAAATAACTTTTAATATCTCTGCTTCACTCCGGACACTCAAAAATACAAACCCCCTGCATCATGTGATGTGCACATCAAGTATTATCTGTACTGATCCTTACCTGCATGGTTGTACTGTTTTTATGTTCAGCACATTTCGTCTGTTTACAGTGAATCTGTTCAACAACTAACTGCACTCCTCATCACTCCCTGTCACCCTGACAAACACATTTATTTCTCTACATATTCTTATTGGATATGTTCATCATTTGTAATTTACTTTTTATCTCTCCTTGATCTATTATTAATTTATTTTATCAATTTATTTATTTATTGGACTCCTGGCAAGGACCAATGTAGACATGCTCCTATTTTTAGTTTTCTACATTCGCCTTATAATCTAGCTGTTTTTGTTACTTTTTTGCCATCTTATTTGTTAAAAAAAAAAAAAATCTCTCTATATTTGTCTATTTTTGTCTCTGTTGTCCACTGTTGTCATCATTCTTTGCTGAAGTCAGGTCTCTCTTGTAAATGAGTCCTCGAGGCTCAATGGGATTTACCTGTCTAAATAAAGGTTGATTGAAATAAATTTGATCTTTTATTGACCTTGGACAAACAGGAACTGCTACTGGATACCTGGAATTTACCTCTGGGATTAAAAACCATCCATCACATCCATCCATCCATCCCTCCGTCCCTTTGTTTTATCTATCTATCTATCTATCTATCTATCTATCTATCTATCTATCTAT